AATTTTAAATGTCAAGTGAGCTCCCCCTTTGAAGCTTGATGGAACTTGGTATTTATAAGCTAAACCTTGCAAGTTGGTGGAGAAAATCTTGGGTATTTGAGTGGAGGAGTTACAATGGGGCTTAACAGCACTTGGTTGCACGGATCAAGGGATGGGTTGAGATTTCCTCCAACTGCCCGGTCAACAAACACCCTTATTTGTAGGTGGAGAATAGGCCAGGCGCATTGCTGAAGTTCTGGAGTGTTGGCGATGCGCCAGACGCATCGCTGCTAGCATAGCCTCCGTGTCATCTGCAGTAGGTGCATTGCTGCTTTTTCCTTCCTTTTTCCCTATAAAACATATATATTTCCTCATAATTCCATCTATTTATCCGTAACCAAGTGTACAATTCTTTATTAAGAAATAGTCTCATTTATACCGGATTCAATGCATGAAACATACGTATTTAATTTCAGAAGACACTAAACATGCACAATTTGTAAACACTTTTTCCTAAAATTCAAGACTTATCACACCCCCAAACTTGAAACTTTGCTTGTCCCCAAGCAAGAAAACAACATTTAGCAATCAACAATTTGCATGCAAATTATGTAAATGAACCAGCATTAAGCACGAACCATGTATTTTGCACATATGACGTCTCAGGAGGAACGTCAAAGCTTGACTACCTACTATCTTGCTCAAGCCAAATCATCATAAAACCAACTTCTGTTTTAAAAGATAAAAACAGTTCTCACTTCTCCTTGGTTTTCAACTCAAAACATTTTTCTATCTAGTAGAGACTATGCACACTTCCATTAATGTCAAAATACTTGTTTAGCACAAAAAGACTTGAAGACATAAACATCACTCATGAGATTCTCTAGGTTGGCAACCAATCCGAGCCTGTCGATTAATGAGTTACACAAAGTCAGGCTAGATCAAAGTCACTACCATCATACTACGAGCATCCCATGGATATATATATATTTGTTTTTAGTAACAATAATAATCTGATTAGGTACTCAACTAAATACAAAATCCAGGACCCACGCCCCCAAACTTGAAGGGAACAGTGTCCGCACGGTTAAAAGTGTGAAAATTTTTTATGCTAAAAAGTTTGAACACTAAGGACAAGGATTCTCTTAAAAGATGAAAACGTTCAAAGTTTATGACAAAAAGAGGCAGAACGTGATTTATCAAACAAACAAAGTGGCAAATGAATCATGGCTTGATCAAGGCAGTAGAAAGGAAAGCGAAAACGTGGTCCTATTGGTCATCATAGACATGTGAAAAACACAAGGAAGCATGAAAAATAGTGATTCATTCAAAAATTCACAAACGACAGGTGGATAAAAAAAACACTGTTGGCTTGACATGAGAACACACAAAAAGGACAAGATAGACAGCACGCAGTTCTATTGTTCATGCATGGCCATGCTAACAAAAATACAATCAACCACAACTTGGCAGCATGCTTTCCAAACTAACAAGCTCCTAATGCGTCAAAAAGAAACGACTACTATCGACATCTACTTGCCAGTACGGCGAAGAGAACGAAAACAACAGAAAACAACAAAAGGTTAGAAACTCCCTGATGTACTATCATCCTCCGCAGTAGAATCATCACCATGCGGAGGTGGCTGAGAAGTCGAGGCACCACCCACGTTGATCGGAAACGCCGGGACAGTTGGGTCGTATTGTGCCAAATGAGCAGTTAAGCGCTTTACATGAGTAGTTAAAAGTTCTACTTGAGCGAAAAGGAGTACAACTTCAGATGACGGTGAAGAATTCGGTGAAGAAGTTGGTCCATGTGGAGTCCAGTGAATACTATGCGATGGAGACAATTTCGTTCGGACGTAGGAAAAAGCTCGGATCTTATTGATCGAAGGAATAGGCATGACCCCGACCGGTTTCTCGAACTCTTCAGGAGCGATAGGGACACCTTGCTTGAGGCATAGTTCTGTTATTAAACTTTGGAAAGAACAACTTGCCGGCCGATAGGGTAGCCCGATCAAGTATGCAATCTCGAATTAGCTGACCATAGTTAACTCTTATACCTTGCATCATGCATTATAATAACATGACACGCTTGCTTTGAACGGTAGTATCATGTGTGGTAGGAAGGAGTCGATTCTTTATCACTTGAAGCCAAATCGTTGCTTCCTCTAAAAGATATTTAGGTGCCAACCAATAGGCTCCTTCGTCAGTAACTTCCCAAATGGCACCCGGTTTTGCTACCACCTTCAGGGCATCCTCCAGTTGACTCAATGAAGGCCGGGCAATCAACTGATTTCCTACTTCTCCTCAACTTCTTGTGGTCCCATACACATTATTAATATCTTTCTGGTTAAAGCAAACGAGTTTACCTCGAACTGAAACTCGATAGTTACACTCCGGATGTAGTGCCGCATAAAATTCTTTCACCACTGATGTTGCCAAAACGGTAGGGATAACCAATAACTGTTGCCAAGAACGTCGATTGATCAACTCCTTAATGAATGGAGGTAATGCAGGGTCATTGGTTTGAAAACCACGTTCTTGCCATATTTTACGATGCTCAAACTTAGCCAGATTCCTCTCGTAATCAGCTTTGCTAAGGTTGATAACTCGACGTGGGTGGTCTTGATATAGATGGTGAGCTGGAATGTTCGATCATGGGATTGTCCTCCGTTCCGGGTGATGATTGAACCGCCGACAATCGCGCTAAAGCAGCGCGTGTCCTAGGCCGAACGGGTAATTCTAAATTGATAGCCTTTGCCGACCTTGTCCTTACAGATGTTATTGTTCCCTCCGATTCCTCCACTAATTGCACATCACTATCCTTTATCAACGCTGTCAG